GACAGAGCGGAGTTTAGGGCTGTTGTACATAGGGTTGCTATGAGTCGCAGGCGACTCGACGGCACATAACAACAACAACAGCATCACTAATATCACACACTAGCAAAATCCTGTTGAAGAGTATCAAGAAAAGACTTGAACAGTACAGTGACAGAGAACTACCAAAAATACAAGCTGGGTTTAGAAGAGGTCATGGCACTAGAGACTTCATTGCCAATGTCAGACAGATCTTAGCTGAGAGTACCAGATGAATGTCTGTTTCATTGACTACGCAAAGGAATTTGATGTGTGGATCACAATAAATTGTGGCTAACCTTGAGGAAAATTAGAATCTCAGAACACTTGATGCTTATATGAAATCTATACTTGGACCAAGAAGTAGTCCTCAAAACAGAGCAAGGAAACACTGCATAGCTAAAAATCAGGGAAGGAGTGTGTCAGGGATGCATCCTGTCCCCAAACCTTTTTAATCTGTATGCAGAACAGATCATTCGGGGGCAGGACTTTATGAGGAGGAGTGTGGCATCAAGATTGGAGAAAGCCTTATTAACAACCTAAAATATGTAGATGACACAACTTTGCTTGCTGAAACTGAAGACGACCTGAAGCACTTGCTGCAGAAGGTCAAGGACTGTAGTATTCCGTGTGGATTGAAGCTCAACATCAAGAAGACAAAGATTCTCACCACTGGACCAACTGACAATACCATAACAGATGGAGAAGAGAGTGAGGTTGTTAGCAATTACAGCTTGCTCAGATCCACAATCAATACTCTTAACACCAGCAGTCAGGAAATCAAAGGAAGAACTGCATTGGGAAAATGTGCTGTGATGGACCTCTCCAGAGTGCAGAAGAGCAGCAATTTCAATATAGATCCAAAGATATGCACCTAATCCAGGCTTTGGTCTTCTAAATTACTTGTTATGCTTCAGGGAATTGGACAATGACTAAGGATCACAGAAGAAAGAATAGATGACTTTGAGTTGTGGTACTTGAGAAGTCTTCAACATACCATGGACTTCCAAGAAAACAAATAGGTCTGTCTTAGAGAGGCTGGAACCAAGTTTCCCCTTGGAGGCTAGGATTCTGAAGCTCTGCCTTCACTTACTGTGGACATATGGCTAGGAGAGATCAGTCCTTGGAGGACATCATGCCCGGAAAGGTGGACAGACAGCGCAAGAGAATAGGACCCAGGATGAGATGGACTGATACAATAACTGGGGTAAAGGGGGTTGGTGTGTTGGAATTAGTGAGACTTGTTCAGGACAGGAAGGGTTCAGAGTTGCTGTACATAGGGCTATACACCACTGGTGACTCAAAGGCACATAATAACAACAACATACTATGACAGGTTTGGAAGCAGGAGTGGCATCCACTTCCTAAACAACATGCCTCCAGAAACTCTGTGAACTTTGATAAATGTCGATAGTTGTAGAGGGGTTTCAGGCCTTTTCTTCATAGGGTCGCTATGAGTTATGTTTGACTCGAAGACAATCAACAACAACAACATACTGTGTTTATGTGTGTATGTATACACACTCAGAGATAAAAGCTTACAAAACAAAAAGTTTTTGGCAACTAAGAGCTCAAAAGAATTCAAATTTCACGTAACAATATTTTTTTTTGCAATAAAATAGTTACTAAGAATGATAATTGTTATTTACTATCTTCTCATTTTACAATGTCTGCTTATGGGAGAGTTTAAAATAAACATGGAAGCCAACTATTACTTGAGGAATCTGTCACCTGAAAAACCGTATGTCTACCAGGGTAAGTGTTTGGTGCTTTTGTTTTGTTTTTTTTTCCAGGATAAGTTTTAAAAAACAAATCAGAACCCATTAGTTAACAATGTTTCCCTTAAGCACAGAACAGAGACCAATATGCAAACTCTGCAGCCAATGACAATGGCTTATAATCAAGCCTGCTTCTGTCAAGTCATTGCTGGCTCTTGGCAACCCCATGTTACCCAGAGCTGTCCCTTAGGGTTTTCTTGACTAGAATTTTTACGGAAGCAGACTGCTAGACCTTTGGTCTACAGCAACAGTAGGTGGGTTTGAACTGCCAACATTTAGTAGTCTGGCCAGAACTGTGCCATCCAAGGACCAAATATATACTTGAAAAACTGCAAAGCTTTTTTAAAAAAGTAAAGCTTTCCTGTGCTACAAATTCAGGACTTGTCCACCACAGTCTTACTAACAGTGTAATTAAAAGACTATTGTTTCAATATACTGGTGAGTCAGAACCAACCCATCACTGACCCTTCAGAGAGTTTTCAGAGGCAGTTAATTGCACAGGATGAGAATTCCCCTTTTCTTTTCTCCCAGAGCAGCTGTTGCATTTGAACCTGGTGTCTTGAGAGTGTAGTGCAACTTAGCTTCTTGCCACTAGGCTACCAGAGTTCCTTAATAATCACTTAAGAGTTTATTTAGAATGTAAAGTTTTGTGCCTCAGGACCACAAATCTACTGAATCATTCTGAAAATAGAGTCCAAGAATCTGTTTCAACAAGATTGGAGGAAATGTTGGAAAAGTGCATTATCAGCAGTCAAAACCAGGCCAGGTGCTGACTATAGAACAGGCCACTAACTATATAAATTCAAAATGAAGATAAAGAAAACGAAAACAAGTCCATGAAAATCAAAATATGACCTTGAGAAGTATAGCTACTAAATTTAAAAGCCATCTTAAGAATAGATTCGATGTAGTAACCACTTATGATTGAAGACCAGATGAGTTGTGAAACACAAGGATATCATCTATGAAGCAAGCAAAAAGTCATTATAAAATTGGGGGAAGGAGATCAAAATGGATGTCAACAGATTCTCAAACCTGCACTTGTATAAAAAAGTAAAAAAAAGGGGAATAAATGCCAAGGTTAGAGAGCTGAACAGAAGATTTCAAAGGGCTGTCTGAGAAAACAATGCAAAGTATTATTATAAAATATGCAAGGTGCTAGGATTTGAAAACCAAAAGGGAGGGAGGGACTCATTCACTATGTCTCAAGTTGAAATGAAGATCAAAACCAAGCCTCAAGTTGCAACACTATTGGCAAAATGTACATGTATAACCATTGTTTTTGCATTAAGTTAGATAAATCTATCTTTCCTACTAGATTTTGAAAATTAAAGGCAAATATTTTATTCCTAAACTACTAAAGGAAATTTAGGGGGGAAAAAACGACTACAAATCCTGAAGGCACAGTTTGAAGCCCTATCTGCTCCATGGGAGAAGGATGGCAAACTCCTTCCGTGTGGTTAACTGCCTTTGAAAACCCGCTGTAGGGTCAGCTATGGGTTGGTTCCATACTACTACACAGTACTCAACACACACATAAAAGAATTACAATTCTGCTAAGCACAAAACTGTATTTATACACAGTTAATCACAACAGCTTTCAAGAAAAAGAAATAAGTGTAACTTGCTCAGTCACACTTAATAAATGATAGTGTGGGCTCAAATCAAGGTTTGTCTGATTTCTCACCACCACCTGCTTGCCTCCTCACATAGGTCTTAACAACTGGTGCCCTCCTAGTAATGTTTGCAATAAATACTTGTTGAAATGAATCCAACTAAAATAAACACTGCTAGAATAAGTAGTATTGGTCATGCCAGTTAATTTTATTATCCTACATGTAGAGAAAAAAAACAAACTCCTGACATATCATAACAGCAAGGACTTTGAACTCCATTCCATCTCACATGCTTTGGGCATGTTGCGAGGAGGGACCAGTCCTTTTAGAGGGACATCAAGGTTGGAAGGGTGGAGGGACTGCACAAGAGACAAAGACCCTCAATGAGATGGATTGACTCAGTGACTGGGGTAACGGGGGTAGGTGTGTCAGAGACACTGTGATTAGCTCAAGATAGAGCAGGGTTCAGAGCTGTTGTACATAGGGGTCACTGAGTCACAAATGACTTGACAGCACATAACAACATCACAAACACCTAAATGCTGCTACTTTAAAAAGTAACTTAAAAACTTTCTTTCAGGTCTTACAATACTCCGCTATTTCAAGATTTTTCCATATACTTTTTTGTAGATTGTTGTTGTTGTACCATAGTCAGAACTGACCCATAGCTGACCCTCCAGCAATGTTTCCAGAAACAGTTAAACAAGTGGGAGGAAACTGCCCATCCTTCTTTTGTGGAGCAGCTGGTGGACTCAAAGCACATGCCTTCAGGATTGCAGCAGTTAGGCTACTAGAGCTTCCTACTTTGTAGACCTTTTATCATTATAATGGAGTTCCCAGGAGATATAAATGGTTAACACACCTGGCAGCTAATTCAAAGTTTGGGGTTTTAAGTTTATACAGAAGTAACTGAAGAAAGTATTCTCTAATTTAAAAATAGTCATTGAACCATTTGGATGTTCTACTGATACACATGCATTTGCAACAAATTGGGAATTGACTTGACAAGAACCATTTTTTAAAGTAATTACAATAAATAATGACTGCAAGATGTGTTGAGCATATTTACTATTGGTAAATACAAGGCATTTCTTCACAAGAAAATAAAAACCATAAATATATACAAGGAAGAACAGAATAAAAATACACAAGTCAAAATAATAATTCCTGTGAATGGTCTTGTTTATGTCACAGTTCACATAAAAGTGACAGAAATGTAAGAGGATTCTAGGAAATAACAAAGTAAAAGAAAATGTTATTATAGAGTATGGAAGGAATTGTATTTTACAAGGAATGATTCATTTATGGGACAGGAGTTTTTATAGAATTGATTTTTGTTTTTAAGTGCCATCGAGTTGAGTACCACCCACTGCAACGCTATGAACAACAGATCTGAACCCTATCCTATCCTGTGTTATCCTCATACTTTCTGACACATTTGAGACTATTGTCAATCTACCTGGCCAAGGGTCTTTCTCTCCTTCACTGACCTTCCAACCTTCAGGTCCCTTTCCAAGGAATAGCACCTCCTAACAACAAGCCCAAAGTATCAGAGGCAAATCCTCATCATCCTCGGCTCCAAAGAGCACTCTGGCTGTATCCTCTTTTAAGACCCTCTTTAAGACATACCTGTTTATTCTTTTATATATTCTTTTTTTCTTTTCCATGATATTAAGTCCTCTTTTATAACACCACAGCTCACAGGCATCAGTTCTTCTTCTGTCATCCCTATTCATTGTCTAGCTCTTAGATGCACAGCAAGTGGTCAGAGAATTGATTATGATAGATTTAAGACAAGAGGGGGAAAAAACCCAAAACTTCCAACCAAATCATTGTAGTCACATAGATTCTGATTCCAGAGCAACTCTTCATTTAGTTTCTGAAGTTGTACATCTTTCAAATCACTAATCTCTTCATTAACAGTGTAACATGGAATGCACTACATCATCACAGCTCCAGAGAGCAGAAGAGATCATTCAAATTAAAAGGCTACAAAAGAGGCTAAAGGATGAAGCTTCCATTCACATAAAGCTCAAGCTGATAAGAAGAGTCTGCACAGGGCAAGGGTGAGGTACAGAGGTGGAACTCACCAGCTGTTCCACATGAGAAAGGGGTAGCATTCTGCTTCTGTAAAGATTTACAGCCTCAGACACCATGAGGCAGTCCTAACTTGTAGTAAATCTATGAGTGAGAATGGACCAAAAGGCAATGGTAATTTTTAAATTTGGTGGTAAGAGAGCAAGAAAGTTGGAAGAATTCTTGACAGTAATAGCTAATTATGACTAGAAGATTACAGAGGCCATGCTATGACTTGGGGGGAAAAAGAAACTGTTATTTTATTTTGAACTGTTTACAAAGTGGAACATCCTTTTGGATAATCAACTCGTCAATTTTAAATTAAAACAAAAATTACAAGTCCATCCTGATGGAATAAAGTGTGCGTAGGTACTCTAATAGCATAGAATAAATGGTGGGTGAATAAAAATATTCTAACAGCAGCATCAAGACAGGAATAGCTACTCATTTTACTGAGTAACTGCAAAGATGGTGGCTAATGAGTCAGATGGATGAATGTAAAGGTAGAGATTAGAGACAAAAAGAAAACAACAAAATAGTTTCTAGTATCACAAATAATATAGTCTTTCCAAGTGATTTGCTTTGAAGAGACTGACATTAATAAAATTAAATGTATTTGGTAACTATATTAAAGCATTTAAAATTTAACAGCTGAAAAGGAGCACTTTGAAAGAACTACAAGGGAAAAAAGTCCTATAGAAAAAACTATTCTCTTAATAAGTCTATGCTAATTTTAGTAGTATAATGGTTCTTCACTTTCTGTTCAAATAACTATCTGCATTACTATGCAGAAAATATTACTATGCCTGAAAATAGTACCAATGAATAACCTAGAAGTTTCCTACTGCTAGACTTTTAGTTCCTTGAAGAGAAAAATGAAATTTTAAAAGAATGACTATGCTTTCAAAAACAAATATAAACTTCTTGAACCATAATTTCAATTGGTAATTTACATGTTTGATTGATCTTACCTCATCATATGATTTACATAGGCTTTGCTACAGCTAGTGTTGTATCTGCAAAAACTACAATGGACATATGTAGGAAAGTGGTTTGCAAAATCTTTTATTTCAGAACAACACTCAATGCACTTGTAAACTCCCCGACGAAACCTTATGGAGACATAAAGAAAATTATATTTTAAATAAAAAAATTATAAGGGAGATCTTCTTAATGTTCTATTAAATACAGTCAAATTTAACACATCTTTAAACACTTATAATTTGAAAATCTGATATAAAATAACAGACTAAAATAAGTATAAAAAATCCAATATCAATATATGAATATTAAGCATGGATCACATGAACCAGATCAAACAACACAAGATATAAGCAAAAAAATAAGCACAAGTGATGAAGAATACAGAATATAGTAATTCAAGTGCTGCTCAGCAGTCGTGGGGAAAAAAAAACAAAACCACCACCAAACTTTTTATTATTTGCTTGGCCTCTGTGCCAGATAAATGGCAATGTGTAAATAAATGTACATGGAGTTCTCTGACAGTATGATATGAAATAAGAGTTTTAAACACTTAAATTAGTACTGTATATCAGGATTTTAAAAAACAAATTACCTTAAATTTCTCAGTGCTGTATTCACTTTACTTTTTTTATTGCTACTAGTCAATGTGCTTTGTTTCTTTTGCAGATCAGAGATTTTGGATTTGCATTTAGTTTTATTTCCATTGGATTTATTTGCAATAGATTTTGTGAGATTTTTAGCAGTTAGAGGTTCAGTCCTCGAAGGTGAGAGCTGAAGGGTTGAAGTGCTTGCACTAATGGAAGGTGTAGGTGAAGATCCTGATTGAAGAGGCCCAAGTGAAGCTCGAATAGTAACCTAAAAAATGGAAAATAATATTTGCTTTTAAAAAATCATTAGATTAGTATTACAAGTATCACTGTAATACAAAAAGTTAAACAAAATATTTAAAAAAAATAATAAATACAAACTAAAATTGGATGAGTCTTCCATTTGTTCTAAATCTTCATACCAATTAAATGATTCTAAACTTGGTATTTTTTTCAAAGCTGTAACACTACAGTTTTATACTGAAATCAATTACATGTTAACATAGAAATTAATGGACAATTAGGAGTTAACACAAATTATAATATGCTCTGAGATAGCTAAAAATTGTCACTAATATAGATGTTAAAATTTAAATCTCAAAACTAAAAAAAATAGCTCTAGAAAGGCCTATATTATCCTTTAACAACTATAAACAAACGGATCTATTATAAATGTGACCTCTTCCCAGGGTTCATTGGTCAAGGTTTATGTTTACAAATGTTATGGGATAACCGACATCATTTCATCATACAGCATGAAGAGTTTAATAATACTCAGAATTTCCTTAAAAGGAATTAATAGGAAATTTGTTATTTAGTATTTGGAAAGAGAAAATGTTTAACTGTATCTGCTGGTTAACAATGAAAAATACAACTGCCTATTAACAGTCTCATTAATCTCCTCCAATGTCTTTGGGAAAATGTCTGTGATACATATGTGCTTTGGTGTCATACAAAAGCACTGGACTAGGAGATATAGTGGCCTAGCGGTTAAGAGATTCCTCTGCCAATCCAATCCAAAGCATTAGACTAGGAATTAAAAGACTTGAGGTTGAATCTCATATTACTTCTTCCCAGCCATAGGACCTTTGAACTAAGTATCCTATCCTCTCTAAACTTTCTTGTGATAATATAGAGACATTATAGGTTTTGTCTATTTCAGTGGTTGCTGTATGGATCAGTGGTTGCTGTATGGATTAAATTATCAAATGTGTGAAAAAGCACACTGAAAACCTAATTATAAAGAGCCATAAACATTTAGTATCATTATTATTAATATTAATATACTACTATTATTATTAATACGGGAAGATATGAGAGGACTGCACTGCTTACATTAGTGTTCTGCATGTCTAGTCCCAGCATGGAATGAATGGACTGCAGGGAAGGATACTGGATAGCTTCTCTCGCTCTAGGTCTTCAGAGCATGGCTTTATATTGTTTTAATTAATTCAAATAACAGACATACCCACATTCAAAGGTAAGTACCCAAAGCCAAATATAAATGTTTTGGGGATTATTTCACTTTGGATTATCCATGCCTCTGTTTCCCTCCATTGGAGCAAATATTCAAGAGCTGACTGTATATAAAGAAGTCAGAGAAAACAGATGTACATAAGGCAAACAGGGAGAAGAAAATTACAATCATCAGTATGCAGTCAGACATGTGTTTGCTCACTTAAAACACAATGCTATCCAGCAGCAGAACGTGCTTCTCTGAGAGCCGACTCAGTAATACCAATCTCAACAAATATCTGAACCTATGGCATTCAAGGCATACCTGGAGCATACCAGACATGTGGACACAAAAAAGAAATAAAGCATAGTTTCTAATCTCAAACCCTTTACAGTTTGGCAGTTAAAAGAAATAGATGCACAGCCAACTGGTATAGCTAAAACAAAGCCTATGTAATGTTGAAGCAACCCAATGACCCAGACAACAGTTAATCTAGAGGTTCTTTTTACAGAGAAATAGCACTCCAATATAAGACATACCATGAATTCAAAATGGTCTTCTTTCTAAACTTAAGAATTATTAAGCCTAACATTAAAATCATAATAAAAATTAGAAGCTAACTTTTAAAAGATCCTATTAAACAGATAAAAACCAGGCAAGAATTCATCTCTACTCTTATTCAAAAAGTGAAAACATATTTAAAACTCACTTTTGTTCCAGGAGGCAATCCTTCTAGTTGTTTAGGTTTTATAAATGTTCGATGATGCTGAGTCTTGTGATCCATTTTCTCCTTGCATGTCAAAAATTGTAGTCGGCATTTTGTGCAACGATGAATGCCTTTTTTCTGTTTAGAAATTCAAACAAAACCATGAGGGAAATAATTTATATAATCATAAATTCTGTGATGTAAAAGTTCTCTGACAGTAATTTTAACATTAGGCCCTTCCTATCACAACAGAGGAAAAGTAACATATACAAAGTTAAAACATACAACTCAGATAAGATGCATTATAGATTACATAGCCCAAAATAACTCTTTCATCCTTATCTTTCTCCCCTTATCTATCTATATCTCACTGTGAGTTTAGTAAAGTTAAAGTACAAGAGAAAATCATGTTAAGATTCATAATGAAACAGAGTATCTTCAGACATCATTCTCCTCAAAATGAAAGGCCAACAATGGAATATAACAATATGAAGAATAGGGTTTCCCAAACTCTATTCCTTAAGATATGTTAACAGGTATTGCACAATAAGAGATCAGTGATCAAATAAGTTTTGGAATAATGAATGCATTCTCTAGCCCTTCTTTGGAGATCTGTAAAAATCATCACCAAACTCAAAGTTCTGCAAAGTTTTATTTTAAAAAGCAAATGAAACTAATTTTGTATAATCAGCCTTTATCAAATTTATTTACCAAGGACATTTGAGGGCAAACACCTATAAACACCTGTTATAAAAAGATCCTGCCAGATTTCCCAAGGATGTGTAACATTCCAATTATAATACAGATGACTCCAAATGTATTTGGAAATTGTACTTTTATGATTTTTCTTATCTAATTAACAACCACATCTGACTACTCTGTGACTGAAACTATAAGAAATGTAAGCATAAGAGCTGATCAAATTGGCATGGTAATTTAATCATTAGTAGGAAAATGTAGAGAGCAGATTTGTGAGTGAGGTAGGAAAACTTATTACATGATCCAAGCCAATAAAAACGCAGAACAATGCTGTCGAGTGAATCCTGATTCATAGTGACTGTGCAAGACAGAGCAGAACTCCACAGGGTTTCCAAGGCTGTCAACTTGATGGCCAGGACAGGGCAAGGTTTGGATTTGGTGTTCACGGGGTTGTTCTAAGTTGTAATTAACTTGACGGCACCTAATAATAATCTCTGAAAGAAACCAACTACCACATCTTTTTCTAATAGACCAGCTCCTACGTTCAACTTGTTGACCTTTCAGCTAGCAATCAACTGCTTAACCACTGGGTCACAACCACAGCACCGTGCTTACAGAATTAGATTTAATAAATCTAATGACTTCTAATTGTAGCAAAAAGATTACTGCTTTTTCAGATTTAAAATAAGCTTATTTTCACCAAAGTTCTCAGCTCAAATACAGGATGGTTAATTCGTTTCAGGATGAGAACTGGCATAGCACCAAAATCCAAGGGAAGAGTATAAGCTTCAATATTGAGATCCCAGAGATCTGAGGTTTGTTTTTTTTTGTTTGTGGATTCTTGGTTTTTGTTTTTGAGTGTGAGAGAGAATATAAAGCAGAACCAGCAGAAATCATGCAGGAACAAAGTTATAACCTAAGCACAATAAGAGTTCATGTATTTAGCTCATGAACTCATTAGTTCATGTAATAAGTGAAATTAATATTCCTTTTTTCACCAACAGAACACCTAGAGAACAATAAATTCAACATATCTTCTGATAAAAGTAATGGGACTAGAAAATGAAAATAGATTTTTAAGAGAATGAGGAAAACAAGATTTGTGGTTCAATCTTATCTACCTCAGTGCAAACCCATCTTTCCTTCTCCTCTTCAAAATTACCTTCAAAACTGTTCTCTTACCTACCCTGAGGTCCTGGAAATCTTTGGGATTTTTCTACTTAACTTTTTTCACTCAGACTATTTTTATCTCAACTTGATGGTTCCAATTTCTAGTTTTGTTTCATAATGCTTCTTTTATATACAAGCTACTTATATATAAACTGTACCATCAACAGAAAACAAGCAACGAAAAAAACTAGAATTTTTTCAAGTACTTCATCATAACTGAATACTAATCTGTTGCTTAGAATAACTTTATTGGAGGAAAAATTCAAGCCAACGTTCTAAGTCAAATTCAGTAATTTTTACAAATATAAAATAAATCAAAAGGGATAAATCTCACCTGATGCTTCATGTAATGATGCATGTATGGTGTTGCAATTTTAATAACTTTGAGGCAAAATGGACATAGCAAGTTTTTAGTGTTTTCATGGGATGTTCTAAAATGAGTTTCAACATCAGAAAATAATGATGATCTGTAATTGCAAACCTAGAAACATAAAGGTTTAGTTTCATTTTAAATACATAATTGTTGGGGAAGGGAGGAGGGGAGAGGAAAATATGCAACGATGATTAAATGAAAATCCAACTTTTCTGTAAACTTCCATTAAAACCACAATTAAAAAAATCTAACATGCAATTAAAAAGTACTATTGAAGGTTTATTTAGAAAAATGTTGTTAGGTGCTGTCAAGTCAAATATGACTTAAAGTGACCCTCTGAACAAACAGATCTGAACCTTACCCTATCCTGTACAACCCTCATCATCTCATATATTGGTGCCCACTGTTAAGAGTTACTATGCCAATCTATCTTATTTAGAGTCTTCCTCTCTTATGCTGACCTTTCCCTTTCCCAGTATTAAGTCCTTTTCCAAGGACTGGCCCCTCTTCATAATATGCCCCAAGAATGTCAGCTGAAGCTACATCATCCTTGATTCCAAAGAGCAGTCTAGCTGTCCTTTCTCCAAAACGTGTTTGTTCTTCTGATAGTCCATGAAATGGTCAATACTCTTCTCCAACACTACCACACAAAGGCATAAACTCTTTTTTTGCCATCCTTATTCACTGTTCAACTTTCAAGTAGACAACAAATAACTGAAAATACCATGGCTTTGATCAGGTGTATCTCAGTCTTTAAAAAGACACTTTAGCTCTTTAGCATTTTGAGCAGATTCTTGACAGTAAATTTTTCCCACTGTTAGCACATCTTTTGATTTCCTGATTGCTAGTACCAAGAATGTTGTTTGTGGATACTAAGAAGATGGAACTATTGACAACAGTAATTATTAATTCATTCCTCATGACTTTACCATCAAGAAATCCATTACTATAAGTACTAAAAGATAATCTCTGTGACAGTGATGTTATCTTTCATAGTTTATAGATACTTTCCAAAATTTAACTCAATTATCTTCTTTACTATAGAACGATACTCCTTTGTTTTAACTTGAATTTTAAACCTCTAACAATTCTTGTCCTATAAAGTTTGTTACAACAAAACAGTGCTTTTAGATTTTAAAAAGTCTTCAGGGTGTGGCAATAGTAGTTTAACTTTATCTAGCTTTGCTATTTCTTCAAATGATTAAATACAGTAGTTCAAACGAACTTAGTTGGTAATATTCAACTCGTCTGTCTTTCTGCTGTAGTGGCTTGCATCTTGCTGTGATGCTAGAAGTATGTTAAGGATATTTCCAATAGCAGCATGGTCACCAAATGTACACAGCTTTCAGCAGAGGTCCCAGACCAAGACAGAGCAGGAAGAAAGACCTGAAAATCTACTTCTAACATACTGGCCAGTGGAAATCTTATAAATGGAAATACATTACTATCTGATACAGTGCTGAGAGATAAGATCCACAGGTTGGAAGTTACTCAAAATGACTGTCGAAAAATGATCTCTGTTACATGATCAACTTGAATAATATAGATGGAAGTAAGGTTTTCACTTCACTTGCTAACAAGCCATAACTCTGAATGAGAAAAACCAGCTACAAACATCCATTAATAATCACAATATGATCATTAATTGTTCACGTTTAAGTCCATGCTGAAGGTGAAGAAAATGAAGACAATCCTTAAGAGCCAAGTTTGATGACTTTGAATATACCTGACTTGATGACTATGTTAATAGATTTGAGCCACTGAACACTAATGACCATAGGAGCTGGAGGATGACTTCACGGACATCATAGCCGAAGACAGAAGGTGGTTATTAAAAAGCCAGGGACAAAATAAAAGGCCAAAATAGATGTCAGAAAAAGATGTTGAAAACGTTTTCTGAAAAATTAAGAACATTTCTGATTAAGGAAAATACATTCCTCTAAAATTAACATAAGAAATGAATTCAAAGAACTAAAATGATTATTTCAAAGAAGGATGCTGAAAACACAAAGTATTACAATATGTGTAAAGACCTGGAGTTAAAAAGTCAAAAACCAAGAACACATTCAGCCTTTATCAAGCTAAAAGAATTGCAGAAAAAACCCTCATGCTTTGAGTTGCAGTACTAAAAAAATTCTATGTGTAAAAAGCTGAACAAAGCATAAAGCATCAAAAGAAGATGGAAAGAATAAACCATTACTTATCAGAAAGAACTGCTCAATCAGCCATCTCAGAAGGCAGTATATGATCAAGAAAAAATGGTACTGAAGGGTAGAAGTTCCTGAGGGTACTAGGGAAAAAAAATAAGCCTCCATGAAGGATGGAAATATCAATTGCAATATTTCATCAGAATGATCTAATACTGGAAGCGCTCATTAGTTTATACCATAAAATTCGGATGAGTTACCTGGCCAACAGACTGGAAAAGATCTATATGCAGACATTGTCAAACAATTTAATTCACAAATAAAATTATGCTGAAGATAATGCAGACATGCCTAGCAGTTCAACAGCAAGAGGATCCCAGAATTTCAAGACAGACTCAGCAGAGGACACGAAATGAAGGTTATCACTGATGATGTAAGACAGATCTTGGTTAATGAAGGGAATACCAGAAAGGTATTTATCTTTGTTTAGTTGCCTAAACAAATTATTTAAATGCCTAAAAGAGGCATGTGACTGTGTGAATGACCACAAACTGTGGATAATATTATGGATAATATTGTGAATAATGGGAATTCCAGAACACTTTATTGTGCCTGTATGATATCTCTATATTGACCAAGACAGCAGTCATATGAACAAAGAGAAACTGTATGGTACACATAAGGGAAAGTGTACATATGTCAAGATTTTATCCTTTTACTGTACTTATTCAACCTGTACAAAAGGCAAAAACCTGAAAATCTGAGCTTTATAAAAAAACATAGTGGTAGGAATGGAGGAAGGTTCATTAACATTCTGAGACATACAAAATCACACAACCTTACTTTCTCAAAGTGAAGAAGACTTGAAGCATCTGCTGAGGAAGATCAAACTATAACCTTCAGTCTGAATTATACCTTAAAGAAAACAAAAATCTTCACAATAGGCCCATAAGGAGCAGCATGACAAAAGGAAAGATAAAGACTGAAGTTGTAAAACATTCCATTTTACTTGGGTCCACGAATAATACCCATGGAAGCATCAGTCAAGAAATTAAATGCTACTGATGTGCAAGGGTGGGGGGGATTAATAATGGGGTTGTACAATTTGTTGGGTGGGGGGGATGAATGAGGGAAATTGAAAAAAAAATGTTCTTGAAAACAATGTATTCAAATTTTTCAGTAAACTAGTAGAAAAGTTAAAAAAAAAAAGAATTAAAATGCTATGGTGCAGGAGGCAAATTGCTACAAAAAACTCTTCAAAGAATTAAAAAGCAAGGATACCACCTTCAAATCTACACCTGAGCCAAACCATGACATCTTCAACTGCCTTGTAATACATAAATAAGTCACACAATCAATAAGGAAGACTGAAAAATATTGATGCATTTAAACTAGCAAGGAATACTAAATATACCATCATGGCCTACTAGAACAAATCTATCCTGGAAAGATTACTCACAGAATGCTCCTAGGAGCAAGGACGAGATTTCATCTTACTTGGACATGTAATCAAAGATCAGTCCTCAGGAAAGAACATCATGATTAGTAATGTCAAAGTCAACAAAAAGATAAGATGGACTAAGACAGTGGCTACAACAATGTACTGAACAATCCCAGAGGTGCGCGGTTCGAATCCACCAGATGCTCTGCTGGAGAAGGAGGGACAATCTCCTTCTGTACCAGTTAGATTTGAGAGTACACACACAAAAATGATAAAAAACTTTAAAAAAAAAAAACCCCAAACCTAACAATGTACTCAAACACAGTAAGAATTATGAGGACCATGTAAGATAGAACACTATTTTGTTCTACTGCACTTAGGTCATTATGCACAGAAACTAACTTGCCAGTACTTAACAAGAACAATAAGGATGACAGAAGATTTATTAATGCCTTTGAACTGTAATGTTGGAGAAGAGTACTGAATAGTCCATGGACTGTCAAAAGAACAAAAAGATATGTCTTGGAGACTGTGAATCCAGAATACGTCTTATACTTTGTGTTGCTAGGAGAGGCTCTTCCTTGGTAAGGAACATCATGCTTGGAAAGATAGAGGGTCAGAAAAAGAGAAGACCATCAATAAAATGGTTTTACACAGTGACTGCAGAAATTGGCTCAAGTGTCAAGATGATGAGGATGGCAAGGAATAGAATAGAGTTCAGATCTATTGTTCATAGGGTCGCTATAAGTCCTATTTGATGGCACTTGGCATTCATTTCCTAAAAAGCATGCCTCTGGAAACTCTGTGAACTTTGATAAATGGTGATGGTTTGGAAGGGCCTTTTGTTCATGGGGTTACAGTAAGTTGTGCTCAACTCAACGGCAATCAACAACAACAACCACAATATTTCCCTGATATACCAGCACTCTTCCCTATATTGTAAGATATATTTGTCTTTAGCTGACAGAACTTCTGTCTAATTCAGAGGTCAACAACCAACCTGTGAACCAAATACAACCTACAGCCAAACACGTAAACAAGCCATGAATTAAGACAGGAGAGTTCCACTAACAAATTATTTACAAGAGGCACTTTAGTTTTAGTAACTTTAGAAATCAATTTTATTTAAACAGTTAAAAAACCCCTAATATTTCATGAAATACCAAATTAAAATTTTAGTGTCATTATTAGATGGGAAAGTCTGCTATTAGGGACCTCTCCAAAGTACTGAAGAGTAATGGTGTCTCTCTGGAGACTAAGGTGTGTCTGATACAGGCGATGGTCTTTGCTATCACTTGTTATGCATCAGAGAGTTGGACAATGACCAAGGAGGATAGAAGGAGAATTGATGCCTTTGAGCTGTGGTGCTGGAGAAGAGTATTGAGAATACCATGGACTGCTAGGAAAACAAACAGATTCATCCTGGAAAGGGTTAAAACTGGGTGGCTCCCTGGAGGCAAGGATTCTGAGGCTCCGTCTAACATACTTTGGACATGTTGTAAGGAGGGACCAGTCCTTGGAGAGCGACATCATGCTTGGTAGGGTGGAGCGACAGCACAGGAGAGGAAGGAAGGCCCTCTATGAGGTGGACTGATTCAGTGACTGGGGTAATCGGATGGGTGTATCAGAGACAGTGCGACTGGCACAGGACAGAGCAGAGTTTAGGGCTGTTGTACATAGGGTCGCTATGACGTGCAAGCGACTCGACAGCACTTAACAACAACATTAGCTTATTATCACACAGCCATATCCAGTCATTTATCTATCATCTCTGGGTGCCACTGCATTACAGGGTTTATTAGTTGCTCCAAACAGAAACCAAATGGCACCCAAAGCAGAAAATAATTATTATCTTCACCTAAAGAAAACAAAACAACAATTACTAATTCTTCACCTAACAAGTTTATATTTCATAACCACAATAACAAATCATAACACTTAACTACAATGAAATATGTGCATACCTGGCAAATATATGGCATTTCACCAGGTTTGTGATTGTCCTTCATATGTTGTAAAAGAACATGTTCTGTTTCAAATGATAATTCACAGATTTTACAAATGGCTAAAAGTGGGAGGACAAAGACATTACAGTATTTTAAGATGTATCTATTTAAAAGATCCATTATCAACAAGAGAAATACTATAAACAGCATTAGGTATGGTTAACAGGTATATAGTTAAATCTGCCCTAAGCATAGTTCTAAGCACTTTACTGACATTAATCAGTTAATAGTCATAAAGACACTGCAAGGAAGGTACTACTATTATTACCCTATTATTTAAATTTTATGTTATTTTTCCAAGAAAGCTGTGATAAAATAAAGAACTGAAATTAGAAACCAAGCTATCTCTAAAATTTATAATTTTAACTACTTTTGTTATTTTTCTTATTGATGTTAACATGAGAGGTTTTACATTTGAAAACAATAGAATCTGAAATTTCTAATTCAGTTAACTGCATATAATCCATGAGTTAGGCAGTTTCCACTAAAGGAATATTTACAAGACAGACTCTCAGTAACAGATAATTCTCAGATTATGTATGAATTCCACTCCTAAATCTCTTTATAAATTGCTTTTGTACATTAAGTCCGAAGAGGTACCATTCTTAACTAATGTTAATCTAATGTTTGTCTCTGTATATAGGACATAGTGTATCTTTCCATACATAACAAGCATTAAATACTTTTAAATACACATACATAAATATCTGATTCAGGAGGCAAAGTAGCACCAATTAGTTACTGTGAACCATCACATACCTCAAAATTTTAATATAAAAAGCTTCATATAGTTGAAGGCTGATACATAACTATGAGTTGTAAAATGTATGTAATTAGATATTTTTAACCTGGACAATGTCTGTAATACTACTTTTTAAATGCATTTAAGTTAAAATTTAACTATTTCTATTTGCCTTCTAATTCCAAAATCTTTGTTATTTTTCTGTTAGAGCTCTTAAGTTTTCCCTCCACTGAGATTATCAAAATCATTAATACTCAATATTTTAAATCATCTGTAACTTACTAGAAAATTCATGGGGAGTATGAGTGCTTTCGATGTGACACTGCAGCTGAAAAGGTGTGGGAAACTGACGGTAGCAGTGCTGGCAGGTGGTGTGGTTTTCCCAGCTCTCACTGCTCTGCTTCTCAAGTTCCAAATGGTGTTTCATGTGGTTCATAAACCTATAAATGATTGTCAACAGGTGCAAAACTTCAGATTTAAAAAAACATTATTACATGTAAGTATGTTAACCTAAATCTAAAAGAATACAGTTTTATTGCTCAAATCCTATAGAGTCAAAACTCTCTACAAAAGTATGTATTTTATATAATAATTTCCATTATAGAGTAATTATCTTTTCATCTTTGTTTTAAAAGTAATTAATCTAAAATATAGCTTATTTGCTCTGGCTCTTAATCCTTATTATGTATTATTTTTTAAAAATATTGGAGTTACAAATAAACAGCATGTCTCTTTTCCACACATGAAATTTTAAACTACTTATATTTTAAACTACTTACATTTTAAAGCACTGGAAAATTCTCTAACAAAAAGCAGCTACATGCAAGAAATTTTTAAGGCCTTGAAGATACACAATCGGTTCCCATTGCTTAAAAGAAAAATTACTGGTATTTTTACTTGTAGCTTGGTTTCTAAATGCATGTAATAGCAATTTTAATGCCTACAAGTACATGAACTTTTTGTTTTATTTAATGATACTGGTTTACTGTTGGCACAGACTATTCATTTTAAGTCGTAGACTATGTCCTTTGCAAGCAATGGTCATTTTTCAGTTTTACATTATGCTATTTCAGCTTCCCTAAAAGGCTGATTATGAAAAGACCTATGACCTTCAATGGCAGAGAGTACAATATAAATAAGAATATCTATTTAAAAGTGCTTACTAAAGCACTTTGCTGAATGTGAGAGTTAAGTTACTCCATCAAATAATTTTTAAACTAGATCAGCTACTAACAATTACCTCTGAGTTCTTAAAAAAAATAATCTTTCAACCAAATAGCATCTTCAATATTAATTTCCTTGAAGCTTGTAATAACTTTTTTTTTCATCTACTCTCCATCTCTTTAGAACTGGTTATAGATAGCTCACCCTGAAATTTTGTTGGTTTTTTTGTTGTTACCCTCCCACTGTTTTAATACAAACTTTATAAAAATGTAAAGAAAATTCTACCAGCTACTGAAGTGCTTTCAGCACACAATAATTTTGTGTGTTGTTAGAACAGAACTGTGCCTTATCGGGTTTTCAATGGCTGATATTTTTGGAAATAAATGAAATTTAAGATATGCCTATATGAAATAATCTCTGCCAACCAGCTTTCTCTCAACTATTATAAAAACTGCCATTAATTAGCTCATACTCCTTAAGCCAGTAGATGAAAACTAGGAAGGGAAACAAACAAGTATCTTGCAAGTATTCATAAAATAAAATAAGCTTAATTTTAGTGACAATCACTGTAGAAAAATTCCTGCTATACCACAATACAGTAAGTTCCCAGGTTATGACTGCCAGACAACTCAAACTTGCCCCTTAAAACTATTCTGTAAATTTGCCCTTACTTTGAAAATAACTGAACCAACTCCTACTTGTAACACATTTTTTAAATCAAAATAATCTTCACTTGCTGCACAGGCAAATTTTATATCATTGCTTCAAACATTTTCTTGCACTAAAATAAGGATAAAGAAAGAGTCTTATACAACAATCCAATTTATCTGCAAAATCAACTTACAGATACACTTAGGAACAGATCCTGTTTGTATCCAAGGGACTACTTTTATGTTGGTAAGGCACAGTATGAACCTTAAAATATCCATCTCTTACCAGGTTATAAAACATCAATTTATCATCTTATTTTTACTGTGAAGGAAATATATTATTTAACATATGTAATTTCTTTGGTTATCTAGTGGTTACCATTAAGGTTACATTGATTAAATAATCAATCTTTAAAATAAATGTTCATTTTTAAGACGTTACCAATGCTTACAATGTCTAGATATTCTTATACTCTAGAAATACATATGTAAAGAGTATTCTGAAATAATAGCCAAAAAAGGAAATTTTATCTTCGTATGTTTAATATGAAATGAGCTAATCTCAAAGAAAAAAAGAAACCAAACTATTGCTGAAGTTACTTCCAAATTCACATGTATGACACTTAAGTATAGCAAGGACGTAAATCAATGCAATACTTTTTGATGTATTTTAATGCAGTTTTCTGATGTGCTTTATATTTTACTATTATAATTTTAAGAATATAAAAAATCAGCATATAGTTCTATTATAATATTATTTCACTGTTATACAGCAGTGTACTACTATTTGAAGTTCCATTTCCCTTCCGTTAGTCTACTGCTATCACTTGCTATTGACAGTTACTAAGATTTGACAAAAATCTATTCTCATCAAGTAAATGCCTACTCACAGGAGATAAAGAAATATAAGACATATAAAATAGCATATGTAGAACTTTGAAAACACAGAACACTACTCAAAATACAGTATTCACAACTGTTAAAGAAGTTTATATGAGATGGTGTATTATCAGTATCACAATAACTTCCAGGAAAATAAAATAAAAGTTGAGCCCCAAGTAATCTATAGGTGACTAATGCTAACTTACAAATGCTAGTTACTAAGAGAAAATATAAATGTACACTGTGTGCTATCAGTGTGTGTGTGTGTATGTGTGTGTGCACCTCCATCAATGTATACAGATATATAAATGCATACACACATACATATCCATATCTCTATCTATCCATCTTTCCATCCATCCATCCATCCATTCATCCATCCATCCATCCATCCATCCATCCGTGCCCTACCTAAGGAAAGAAAAATGCATCAAGAACTATTTACCTAGATGGCACCAAAAAATGCAAATTAAAGTTACATTTTTATCTATAGCATTCTAACTTTCAAATAGAAATAAAAATAAGTATTTACATACCTAATATTATTTTTAAGAATTTTCAAGCAACTGAAGCATTTAAAGGTTGTATGAGTCTTCTGTTCTTCCTGGGCATCTCCTTCATGTTTTCCATAATAAAAGTCATTAACTAACATAATCAATTTTCCTTTCTCTGATTCAATAGTGTTATTTGTATTTGTTGTACTTGAAAATTCTGTATTAGCCAGTCCCAAAAAGTTATTTATCATGTCTGGACAACAATACTGAAAGAGAAAAAAAAATAGATGTCTTATTTATCTTTTTGAAAAAAGTGAAATACGAAAAATGATTCAGTATTTCCAACTAAGGCCAGATCATGTAAAACTATGTTTGGTATTATATCTGGAAAAATATTCACCCAAAAAGTTGTGGTGAAAGATATTTATATATATAATCTATAAAAGTCAAACCCATGTATTTGTCATCTTAATGTACACACACAAAAACTTTTAAATAAATGTTTAAAAAAAGCTGAAACCAGGACTGACTACAGATGTAGTAACTTTTTCCTTGCAAGTTACCTTTCCAGATGAAAATACTTAAAATTTTATTCCTTAGCCAAAAATCATTTCATAGTGTGTCAAGATACAGAAAGGAAACGTAGTTTCATATGCCAGTATGTACAACTTTAATTATCAACAAAAGTTCAATGTTTCAGAAAGTCTAGTGGAAAGTGGACTTTACACAAAGCTAACCTGACATTCTTTAGCCTCAAGGTGCTAGAAAATGCATGAGGGAAAAAAAATCATCTTGAAAATGTAAATAGATACATTTTAAAATTTAGAATGTTTAAACATTTGAAAGGGAACCTGTCTTTTTCAAATTAAGATTTCACAAGAATTGGCTCTCATGTGAAAGACTTTCATATTAAAAAAAAAAAATACAACCACCAAGAAAATACAATTAATTTTCCATTGTAGGATTTTACTAGATTAGTGTTAAGACTAAACAAGACAAAGAAGACCTGCAATAGAAAAAACCAAAGTGCTTGTTAAATAGCAAATTCCTAGACCCCACTGCAGACCAATATATCTACAGTAGGGCCTAGAAATTTATTTTAACACGTCACTCAAGTAATTCTTTTGTAAATTAAACTCTTTCTAAATGTGTAATTTAATAAATTAGTAGCAACCGAAGAGAAGTTTGAAAACATAAATTCTATTCCTTTTTAACAAGTTGGGTGTTTTTGTAAATCTACTCTGCCACATATAATATTCTAGCTAATTAGTGAAACTTTATCTTGCACAAGTCTGCTCTGATACAAACACACTTGTAATAGTCCTTTCAAGGTTGCCTTAACATTATTTTCACTTGTAAAGTCTGAATCCACAAAAGGAAAAAAGTGAAAGAAAAATCCAGATGTGAAAAAAAAATTTTTTTTTAGGCTGAGGTAAAACCCCTATATAAAGTTGTAGGCTTCATCAATGAGTGCTTCAAGTATTTGTGGAATTAGCAAGTAAGAGTATGTCACATAGCAAAAGTCTTTGAAGCGTCTTCCTCTAGTCCTGATGCCCTTTTATTGTTCATGTAGTCCATCTAGTTGGATTTTTTGCTCAGCATATAGACTGAACAGGTATGGTGAAAGGATATAATCCTAAATTCCATTTTTCCTGTACCTTGTTCTTTTCAAAGGACTGTTTCTTGGCCTAAGGTAAAATGAAGTATTCTAGGGGTCCTCATTCTTCCCAATGTTGAACATGACTTTTTGAGGAGCAGTTAAAATTTTTACTTTAATTAGCAATGAGAAGGTAGGATCTCACCATGGCATTGGCTAATGCCAGAACAGTGATGACTTAAAAGAAATAGCAGTAAGCAACATTTTATTCTTTTACGACCAGACAATGATAGTGCAAAATAGTTACAACTAGGCAACTAGAATGATAACAATGAGAAGTTATCAGTAAAAGTCTGAATGGCACTAAACTTAGAATTTAAAAAAGGTGAACATGACTTTTAAAATAAAAAAGAGGATTTAGAAACAATTACTCCATGCTAATCCCAATATGCTTTTTTGTATTACAATCTTAAGTCTTTGGCTTTTTTTAAACTAAAAGCTGGGCTAAGTAAAACACCTTTCATTTTCTCAAACCACTGTCAGAGCACTGAAAAATACACTACACTTGTAACCTTTGTGCCATGATCCACATAGCTGAATGTCTCTGCACAGTCAATGTAAAAAAATAAAAGTAAAAAATAAAAATCATTCTGGCATTCTCTGCTTTCCTCTGAGGCTCATATGACATAAGAAAATGAGAGCTCTTGCTTCCCTTCATCTGCCATGTTCAACTTTGAATTTCTGGTTAACTATTTATATTAAGGCAGCCTGGTGGAAAGAAACTGTGCTGCAATCCTGAAGGAAGGCAGTTGGAAGTCAGCAGCCACTCTGCAGGAGAAGGATGGGCAATCTCCTCTCCTGCCTCTGAAAACCCACCAGAAGGTCAGCTATGGGTTGGTTCCAATTCGACAGTATACAACAACAAAATCATTTTTAATAGTCTTTAATAAAATTTTAATTGTAGGTGATATTGTTCAGTAATTTCCAAATGCTGTTAGATGATTTTTCTTGGCTTAGAAGAATAACATGCCCAGGGTTGCAACTGTTTGAAACACCTTAATTAGTATTATGTCATATCCTAGCTCATTTTTTTGCCAATGCTTTCAGTACAATTGGATTTCTTTCTTCAGTACCTGTGATTATCTACGACCTTCTGAAATAACTGAACACCAATCCATTCTTTTTAGTAGAATGACTCTGTGTAGTGTTTTGATCTTTTTTTGATCCTCTGTGTCATTCACTATTTTACCTATAGAATCAATCAGCACTGGATCTTAAATTTGTTCTTTCAACTTGAGAAATGCTGAGGTGTTCTTTTCTTTGGATTTTTAACTTGATCTTACACATTTTATTGTAATGCTTTATTGTGTTTTCCTGAGACACCCTTTGAAATCTTTCATTCATCATCTTTTCACTTTACCTCCTCTAAAGGGCAGAGTTCAAATCCACTAGCAACACAGAAGTCAACACAGTAAGACAAATTGACAAATGGTAGAGTCATATTCACAGCATCATTTGCAGAGAAAAATTACTTCACATCTCTCTATAGAGAAGCCTTCAAACAATGTGGAAAAATACCATGTACAAAAGTTATATAACATGGAATAGGCCATCTAGTTAGAAATATATATAACCTTATGTGTCCAATATTGCTTCAGTACCAAATCAATTTTTATTAAATTTTGAAATATAGTTCTTCACTAATAAACTACATGTTTAATCACTCAGTGTTTCTAATTTTGCCACTTAAGATATTTTTGTTGTTGGATGCTATAGTGCCTGTTTGACTCATAGTGTCCCTATGTGCAACAGAACAAAACAGATGGTTCCTGTGACATCCTCACAATCACTGCTATATTTGAGTTCACTGCTATAATTTCTTTTTTATAGAGATTTTCTCCTTAATCACTAACCCTCTACTTTACCAAGCAAGATATTCTCCTAGAGGGACTGACTATTCCTGGCAATAGTTCCAAAATTTATGGGGAAAGTCTCTCTCCATCCAAGTTTCTAAGGAGCATTCTGGCTTTACCTATGACAAAACAGATTTGTCAAACCAACTCAAGGTGGATCATGGATCTAGGATTAAAACCAAGGACTATAAACTTCATTAAAGAAAAGCTTGGAAGAACTCTAGTAGTACTAATCCACAACATAAAGAGTCTTCCAAGTATCCTGAAAAATCTACAACCAAGAGAAGATAAGATAGATGAACGGGACCTTCTAAGAATCAGATCCCTATGCACATCCATAAACTTCTCCAACAAGGTGAAAAGGGAAGCCACAGACTGGGAAAAAGTGTTTGGTAATGACATGTCAGATAAGGGGCTTAATACTAGAATTTATAAAATACTTGAGCACCACAACAAGATAAAGGTAAATAATCCAATCAAAAAATGGGCACAGGATATTGAACAGACACTTCACCAAAGAAGACATTCAGATGGCCATCAAGCACATGAAAAGATGTTCAAAATCCCTAGCTCTAAGAGATGCAAATCAAAACAACTATGAGATATCATCTCAACCCAGTCAGAAGAGCAAAATGTAATAGAACAGCAAACAACAAATGCTGATGAGGTTGTGGAGAAACTGGAACCCTTATTCACTGTTGGTGGAATGTAAAATGGTGCAACCACTGTTGAAGGCGGTATGGCGCTTTCTCAAAAAGTTGCAAATAGAGA